AATCATGAGGTGCAAAAGGTAACGCAATCAACATACAAGTACTTCAAGTACTACAATTTCACTGGCAAAAAACAAGTTTTAATTAGATGTCACGTGTCGCCATCAGTGTATCCTATCTGGGGAACAGTTTTCCAAAACTCAACTCATCAGGACGGAACATTGGCAAGCCATTGGGGACTATCCATCAATTATCCATTGAATCGCAGGGCTCAGAAACCCCAATAACCTATGATAATTCTAATGATAATTGAGGATTGATGAATAATATTTGTGATAATGATAATATTTGATAATATATTATAATCTAATTTACCACAATGACCGAAAAAATTGTCAAATAGCCATGATATTTTTCAACTGTATCGGCCGGTGATCACTTTCGCTATGAAGCTGCTTGCTTACATGCGATAACCCCATAAGAAAATACGTATACCCTCTGGTTATTTAACATAGCCATGGAAAATGGCCCATAGAAATAGATTATTTTCCCAGCTAGAAACCTCCATTTATAAGGGATTTTCCATGGCTATGTTAGTCATAACCAGATGGTAATGTAGATGGTCATTCCATCCCGGATTAAAGTCAATTATATACCCTATTGTTATCCCATGGAATGATAAATATGATCACTAAGCTATATGTCGAAAATATCCAACTTGGCTAACATCCACCAATAACCAATACTTGTTGGTACGGTTATCCCATCCTCCAGCTCCATCGCCGTATCCTTTGTTATATCATCATATCAACATGACATATATTCATGATTAAGAACAAGTTCAAATCATCTCTCAAACTCTGTCTGTCCAAAAAGTCCACCAGAAAATCCGCCACACATCCATCCAGATTCGTTTCTGTTCCCCCCCATCCCACGCTCCCCACGGCCGCGCCTTGCGGCACCAGCTCCGCATTCTCCAGGCGCCACAGGGTCCCAGGTTCCGCGGGGCGCCGCTGCCATCCGCCCCCGCCGAGGCCGTTCAGGTTCACCTCCACCGAGCTCAGCTCGGGATCCTCCGTAAAAGACGGGACAAAATGAAGGTTTTTACCATGGAAACATGGGAAAACCATGGGAAAACCATGGGAAAGCCATGAGAAAACCATGGGAAAACCATCGGAAAACCATGGGAAAACCATGGGAAAACCATGGGAAAACCATGGAAAACCATGGGAAAACCATGGGAAAACCATGGAAAAACCATGGAAAAACTGAGGGTTTGGGAAACCGTGGGAAAATGATTGGATAATTTTCTATCAACCAATGTGATTTTTCAAGTGTTAGATGATTTTAGATGTTGTTTCAGATACCATGATTCAAGAATTGCATGCAGATCAGTCAGGTCAACAATTTTGGTGCTTTTAGTCAAGCGTTTATTAGGTTTTGATTAACAAGTGGACTTCCCCAAACCAAATTTGTGGTAGCCAACCCAAAAAAAACTTACTTATGGATACTTATGTTATCTTATGGTTACATACCCATTAAACCCCATTAAATGGCATTCATATCCATTCATAATTCATATAATCCAGAAACATGAACATCATTCCCCCACTAACAATACAAACAATGATAATCCCCTAAGAGTGGAATAATAATCCTCTAACAAGAATATAATTCAAGGGGATTAATAACAATACTAGTGGTAAAACAATGTGCCATAAACCATCCATTTGGGAATGGTAAACGTACCACCTATTTATGGTAAAATTGGGGGATGGTTTATGGCAGTGTTCTAACCACATTAAACAATAATATTATAGCCACTGTAAATCACTATAACCCATATACCTTAGCTGATTATATCTACCATTAATGGGATGGTTTATGAAAATGTTTTACCCACATTAAACAATACTGGTTGGTGGTTTCAACCCCTCTGACAAATATGAAAGTCCATGGGAAGAATTATCCCATATATGAAATGGAAAATAAAACATGTTCCAAAACACCAACCAGAATAGTAATCCCCATGAATTCCCCCTTCACCAACAAAAAAAACCTTCGGTCTTCGGCACCGGCGGTCCTCACTTCGCCATTCGGCACCATCCCAGAGTTGCAAGGTCACGGAGGGGACGTACTCCATGGGCATCGAGCCCTGGTGGAACAGCAGGGTGGATTTCATCATGGAAAAACCCGGTGAAATGGTGGGATTTAACTCATTAAATATTAATTACCCTCTGGTAAACTAACATAGCTATTGAAAATGGCCATTTATGGTCAGTTTTCCCATCAAAAATGCTGATTTTCCATAGCTACGTTAAATTACCAGAGGGTAAGCATGAAAAATATAGGGACTTCAGCAAAATTCAGATGTTCACTGATTTGGAGCACTAAAAATACTAAAATGGGATCTGATCGAAAACTTGACCTGGGTAAAATTCATTGATGCAGCACCATCTCCAGGTGGCTTCGTGGCAGATATAACTCAACCGGCGTGCATCCAAATCATCCAAGATCTGCGCGGCAAATCCCATGGTTTTTCTCCCAAAACATCTATTTTCAAAGCCCCTCTCAACCCATAGATTCATGGATGATTACTGGATGATTAATGGATGATTCATGGATGATTAATGGACAAAATCAGGTTTAATGGAAAATTCATCTAGAATGAAATGGATGATTTGGGTACCTGAAAAGTTTGTCATCTTCCCCATGAATGATCCAACCGCCATCCAACGGCGCCATAGACCTGCATCAACTTCACACATCCTGGCTGACACGGCTGTTGGGATCATCATCCCCCACGTTTATGGGACGACCCGAATCATGGACGTTGAATAGGATCTAATGGTGGTTTAATGGCATTTTATGGTTTAATGAAATTTTATGGTTTAATGGCATTTTATGGTGGTTTAATAGGATCTAATGGGAATCCTAATGGCATCTGGTTCGTGGTTGACCTAAAACCCCTCTGAAAAATGATGGATTGATCGTCAGTTGGGGTGATGAAATTCCCAACTGAATGGAAAGTCATAGAATTCATGGTCCAAACCACCAACCAGACACTAATCATAGGATACAAACGGATATTAATGACACAAATACTAATTCTGATGAATGTTACTAATCATAGGATACTAGGATTGATTTCGATAATCCTAATAACAAACATGGGACTTCCAGAAGTTTAATAGAGACAATGCACTCCACCAGGGGTTCCAAGGGGGGCTTCATATTGGGGGAAAGAAATTGTAGAAATTATTTGGGGTAATTATGATAATAATATACAATCTAAATCACAAATTGTAGAAATCAATCCTTGGTTAAATTCTAGAAAAGGTAATTACCCTCTGGTAATTTAACATAGCTATTGAAAATAGCCATTTATAGTGGATTTATCCATTAAAAATTGTGATTTTCCATAGTTACGTTAGTTTACCAGAGGGTATATGCAACCCTATGACAATCCCAATGACACCCTTCTGGATGATGACCCGGCCCCACCATCTCCGGCCATCTCCGGCTGTCAGTCAAGGATCGCACCCAAACTGCCCCAGAAAGGTAGTCAACGCCCAGAAAACCCGGATGTGAGCGGTTGGGTTCGTGGCGAATCAGGATGCCCGTGCTGGTATCCAAATCGCTCAACCTCAGATCGGACAAGATTCGATGTGGAACATTCGATTTCAGAAAGCCTGGAAACTCGTGGAAAGCCCCAAAAATATGATGCTTCAGCATCATATTTTCCCCAGAAATGGCATGAAATGGGGGTTAAATCATGTTTAATCCCTCATTTGCAGACTCATGTCGATGTTGATGAGGAAAACGGTGAGGAAAATGAACATTTTTCCCCATTGCTGGCTCACGGCTTCCTTGTAGAATGTCAATCATGTTAACCCCGGACGAGACTAAAACCTGACCATTAATTGGATGGGTTACCCTCCTCAAAATAGTGATCAAGTATTACTATATCGTTATTATTCTTACTATTCTTAATGTGGGTAAAACTGTTATATAAACCACCCATTTGGGAGTGGTAAACATACCACCTCTCTTTTGTTTTTGTGATGACTGGGAGATGGTTTATTGATGGTGCAGATGGCATTGTTTTACCCAATATTACTAGTATCATTATGTATCATTCAAATCGCTATCCCATTGCTTCAGCAAACTCCTGGGTCTTCACATTGGTGGCCACAGTTTAACTGGGACACAAACTGGATTCATCATGATTCATCCAATGTGGATGACCTGTTTGGAGCTGCATGAAATTTTTGGAGAGGACTTCATTTTAACCCATGCCCTTTTTTAGCATCATACAGCCATGTGTTGGAGAAGTTTTCATGCCGAGATCATTGATCTTAAAAGTCTTAGTCTTTGAGCTCATGAACCCCCGAACTTATCAAGCAACACATTGGCGTGTCTGCAACGTGATGTACCTCGTAAGAAAAAAAGAAACGGCAACAATCGATGGAACATGGACTGATGAATCACGGATTTCAGGGTGCCGTACTCTACATCAAACCCAAATAGACTACAAGGTGGGGCCCCCAAGATATAAGTTGGTTTATAAGCCCCAGTAACTATAGTTATAAGTACCATAAACCATAGTAATTGGAGTTACAAACCAAGTTAGCTATCTAGGGGGCCCCACCTTGTAACTATAGCTAGCTAGCTCAACATGACAAGCTACACAGGAAAAATGCCCCAGAAACATCGTTCATTCGGAAGTACATGTTTCAGCACTCGCGCGTGTGATGGTCACTGGGCTCAACATGCCACAGCGATACAGGGACCTCACCTGGATTTTTCGCAGATTGGATCTGATTAGGAAACAGATCACACCTGGATAAATCAATAAATTTCAAGCCTATATAACTCAGGTGATCTTTAATGGCTATTATTCCCATAGAACATGCTAATCATCATGTCACAATGTGTGGTGCTCGGTGGGCCGTTTCCCCTTGCAAGGCACTGGTATTGACACAACAACTACAAACAATAAGAGAAATTTACTGTTCAAGCCTATAGTACGGCAATAATCCCAAATGCTCCATGTATGGAATATTTACCAACATTTACCCTAAAACCTAAAAATCACTGAAATGTAAGTAAATATACCATACATGGATATACATGGAGCATATGGGAATACTGATACTAGCCCACCTGCTTGATTTTTCTATGAAGCGATTTACTAATCCACTCAACCTTTTCCATCCTGGCCACTTTGCGGAAAAACTCTGGAGACAAGAAAAAAAACCGCAAAACAAAGCGCCAGTGTTTAGAAATCCCATGGTTTGGGGTCCCTACTCTACACTTATGTTTTTTTTCCTGTTGTCAATTATAGCCCTATGAATGGAATGATAACGCCAAACAATAACCATACAAATCAGTGGTAATTAAAGTGCTTGAACTCTACAGAACATACCTTCCCTGGCGAAATCACCAATTCCCAGGAGCTGCTGCGCTTCCGACCACATCTTGCCGCGCTCGGCGCGGCGGAAGCCGGTGATCAGCGGAAAGTAGCTGGACGCCAGCACCGTCTCACCACCTCCCTCCAAGCCAGCCACTGGCAAGCGATTCCTGGCGCAAGCAAGCGCGCCAGGAAGATTTTTGGGGCCTTTTTTGTTGTGAGCTGGTCTATCAACCTTTTTTGCGATATGATAGATTGATCATTTGGTTGGTGGTTGACCTACCCTTCTGAAAAATATGACTTCGTCAGTTGGGATTATTATTCCCAATATATGGAAAAAAATGTTCCAAACCACCAACCAGTCATGATTAATCCATCATCAACCCTGGTTCCAAGTCTCGGCGACTGGTTAGATGTTCACTCCCTAAAAGGATACATTTAGGGTCCATTTTCCAAAGCCAGGTTGGAGTATACAAAAGGAGGTATCATGAAACAATGTTTTTGTCGTTTTATGGTTTCAAGGTTTCCTGTGGTTTACCATCCCCATCGATCCAGATGCTTCCTTCGGAAGACCCGCCAGTCATCATACCCCAGTCATACCTTCAAAGGGTAAGACCCATGCTGGTTGGTGGTTTCAATCCCTCTGAAAAATCATGGAGTTCGTCAAATTGGGATGATGAAATTCCCAATATATGGAACAAATCCATTAACATCCATTAACATCCATTAAACCACTATGATCCATTATTTCCAACTGAAAGGAAAATTAAAACATCTTCCAGTCACCAGCAACCAGCATGACCACCCGGTCATCTGAACCCAGTCGTGGCTCCCCATGGCTCCCCATGACTCAGTCGGGAGGTCCTGCACTTGGAATCTGCGTACATCTCCAGCTCCAAGACCCTCCAGTGCCGATTTTCCTCTGCTTTGGGCACCAAACGCCACCGCGTCCTGGAGATCGATCGAAGGATGTCACTGGGACCCAACAGACATCGGATGTCGAATGTGGAGCCACACGAAAAATCACCCAACTAGACCGAAGACTGCGATGTGTTTGGACATTCGAACATGACTTGAAAAACTTCAGACAACAGGAAAGGATTCCCTGGAAATGGAATTGCTGGAACACAAGAAACAGCGATCTTGAGCCTTTCCTGTAGGAAAAAACACCGAAAACACCAAAAACTTATCCTCCAGCGAGCCATGAAAATATGTGTTCCATAGCTGGTCTTAAAAGTTCCCAACATGGTGGATCGTCTTCCCAATCATCGCAGCTGTAAACCATTGTAAACCTCATGATTAGTGATATATCATCATAGTTTCAAAGGGAATTCATGATATTTGGGGACACTGCCATTACACTGCTATGGAAACACTGAAATCGGCATCTTTCTGCGGGTTGCCAACAAATGGCTTCATTCTGGCAGTGGTGCCCCCCCCAGTTATGTTGGTTAAATCCCATCAACATCCATCAACTAGTTCGATATTTTTGTGTCACAAATTAGTCATAAACATTTGAATTAAACCATATAGTTATTGGAGTTAACCAAGCTGGGGAACCACTGGAACCACCAACCTTGGCGCTTTTGACCATTTTTGACCCACGGAAACGCGACCGCCAAGGCGACAAGCTCCGCCGCCAAGCTGCATGAAGCTGGCTGCAGGTCTGGACCAAACGCCACCTCCGAGTTCGTGCAGTGAACCTGTTTTGGTCATGGGCGACAGGATGTAGATCTCACCTGGGCGAACCATTTCAACCGTTTCCACCGTTTATCGAAACACGTTTTAAAAAAATATGTTTAAAGGATGAGATAAGGTGAAGATTCAGATCGAAGTTTTTCGTCACATCCGATTCTACGAGATATTTTGCTCGAAATAGTGATGAATCATGATGAAGGAAATGGTTTTTCAAAATCTTTTAGGGGAGTACTATGACAGTATTAAAATGCAAGGCTAGCGGGAGGCCAGTCCGGGATGTCCCAGAAATCCCCAGAATTTTCTGGTAAATCCCAAGTGATATGGGAACTTTAAGTGGACATTGATTTTCAACGGGAAAATATGGTAAACAATTGTGAATTATAATCATGTTCCCAGTTTAAAATTGCGACTTTGGCTGTCTCCCCATTTTTAGACACACCCAAGTATATATAAAGTGTGTTTGTTCATGCTTGTGCATCAATCTCTCCAGAAACACAAGAGCAATCCAGCGGTTTGCCATGGAAAGTAGTGGCGATTTTCCATGGGCAAATCATGTACACTGTAGGGGTGATTTTCCATGGCGAACTGTTACCAGAGGGTAGTCTTCATCTAGGGTTGAAACCATCTGAATATATATATATATATAAATATAAATATATATATATATAAATAAATATATATATGATAATATATGCAGATTGAGCTAATTGCACTTGATCTATTCAGCCTTACTCATCTATCTTCTCAAACGGGGCACTTTTGGAGTCCCCATCCCATAGACAGTAAATTGCTATTCTCAAGAGGAAAGGCATCTTCCCAACCACTTGTTTGTGGCATTTCTGTGTTTGCAGCCGCAGTTCCAAACAGCCTCCAGTCACCTTGCTGCCAATGAAAACCCTTGATGTTTTCCCTGTAATACCCTCTGGTAAATTAACATAGACCCTGGCAGATAGGGGTTGGAAGATTAGTTTCCATTAAAAATAGGCTATTTTCAGGGTCTATGTTAATTTACCAGAGGGTATCATGTCATAGCACATCCATCTCAGCTGATGTGCCCAAGAGCTGAGGGTCCATGGGCTTCCCAAACAGCGCTCACCTCTTGGCCAAGTAGCCGTTCCACAGCTGGATCTGAGTGCTGATCATCCTGTGGGGCCCGTTCCAAGAAGGTACAATGTAAGGCCCCCGTTAGATATGTTTGTTGGTTTAGATTCGCCCCAGTAGCTATAGTTATAAATACCATAAACCATAGTGACATTGGAGTTATGTCCACCAACTTAGCTATCGAGCTGGGGCCTCACATTGTAGAAATCTTGCATAACTGTATCTGGATCAGTTAGAGAGCAAATCACATATTTTCATATATTTTCCTGGTACCTGTTTCTGGTTCGCGCATTGGTTCTGGGTGGTTTCGGACATACCTTCAATTTGCTGTTTCACAAGCAGCTCTTCCTGTCATCCTATGCGTACAAGACTGTTGCTGGATGGCTCATTTGCCTTCAAATCAAACTTCGCTGCTGATCCTAAGTATATGGGGCCATATGGGGGCTGCTGCTGTCACATCTCTCAAAACTCTGCCAAGTGGATTTCAAGTCACAAACCAATGGTTTCGATATGTTTCGATGTGAATTCCGCCTAGGCTTTGTCCTTTCAAAGGGGCCCCGAGTCCAGTGGTCAATCATTCTCATCTCCTTCCTATTCATGACCCCCATTCTCCCCCATTCTCATTGGGGCTGTCCTCATTTTCAGACACAAACAAGTAGGAAGGGTATGGCATACGGTTGGGTTTGGAACTCCTGGCCGCCCTGGCCCTTCACTCCGAGCGTCTGTTGCTCCAGCCGTTCTGATTGCCAGATCCGGAAACATCGCACCATGAGTTCCTGCGCCGTGAGTCGGTGAATCGGTGAATCGCTGGGACTCGGTGAGCTTTTTGATTGATCTCCCCTTTTGGGCCCATGCCAAAATGTGGCACCCCAAAATGGAATGGTTTTACTGTACCGTAAAAAAAAAAACATAAAGTCGGTGGTCCTTGAGGTCATTGAATTCAGAAGTGACCCCGAACAAACCAAAACAAGACACCATTCCAGTACATTCCAGCAGGCTTAGGTTAAAAAAATCTCCTGTGTGGCTGGGAAATTCCTGGCAAAATCGTGGGGAAAAACTTCCAGATGAATCCGCCGGTGGGTCAGATCGAGCTATGATCCGACAAATCTTGAGAAAACGATCCATGGATTCTTCAAAACGGTAGAAGTTGAAAAATCCAGGAGCAAACAATCACTGGTCCACTTAGAGATGTGTTGTTACATGTTTTTTTTTTTCGACTGTCCTAAGTTCTTCTTGATCAGTGAAATGCCCCACTCTTGCTGCTTACATCATCCATGCCTTTGTTGGTTAATTGCCTATACTAATTCTAATTCAATCAAAACCTATCTTCGTTGCTTAAACCATAAATCTCATGTGAGCGTGTTCATTGATAAAGCGGCCATAAAAACCAGTTTTGCTGGTGAAACAGCCATGAAACTCAGAAATTTTCGTGGCCTTGAAAGGCCCCGAAATGCTCCTCCTCTTCCGCTTCCGGGGCATTATTGGGAAGTTCCACGCCCAGCCAATACCTGGCAGCAAGAGCGCGGAAGCCAAGGATCTGACACCGTGCTGGGATGCAATTTCCACACAAAACTTTCACCATGAAAGTGCCATTCTTCCGTAGGAAACGAATCGTGGGTCCCATGTTGGTCTTCAGAAGATTCGGGGATATAATAACGTGTAATAGTAAACACTGAGACTAGTTGTGGGTTTCCAAGACCTTGGGGCCCTTGGGGTCAAAATGTTATCACCCATTCTTCTAGAATGAATCTGGCAAACCGATGGCTGGGGTGTCTCCGTTTGGGTGCACTTATGCCATGATCCAGGTGGGTTATAAGGTATGGTATAGTAAATCCTAAACCTGATGTAAGGTTTTTGTTGATGACTTAATGTGAAGGATCATCTGTAAAGACTTGCCATTTGAGTTCGCTATGAATTATCCAGATACTTTCTTTTGGAGAACAAATATCCATGTGCGGAAGGAGAGTCTGTTGAAAATGCAGTCGCGGTGCAGTGTGTTCCAGTTGTTTTGTTGCTAACAGCTTGCCCGCGTTGTAAATAATTCACTTCATGTTGGTCAAATTTGAGTCCCTTATATCAACACCATTCAATCCCAAAATAAACTTGTTGGAAATTTTGGAGGATACCTGGAGAAAACATGAGAAAACAGCCGGCTCAGCCATCAATTTGTGCTGCACCCAAAAACGGACTCGGCCGAAGGTAAAAATCTCCGAGCAAACAATCATCATTCGCCAAACTTATCAAGATCTAAGATCTGTATATGGTAAACCCAATAACACATTGATAATGCATTTTCCCCATTATGACAAAATCAAGCGTTAGTCCCAAATGCGGCAACCCAAAGATTTATCTAGTGTATATGCACGTGTATACATACATACGTAACATTACGTAACGTTACATTACATTACATTACATTACTTTACTTACATATTACATTACATGACATCACATTACAGTACATTACATCACAGTACATTACATTACATAACAGAACATATATATATATGTGTGTTTGTAGCCATCCTGGATAAACAAAAAAAACATGTTTAAAGTCCTCACTAAAATGGGAACTCCGTATTCTATCTATATTTCAGAGTGAAATCTATTTAATGTTTACTGTACGTCTAGATCTATGTAATGTATAGCAATTACTGTGATTATTTGCTGATTCAAATCCATACTTTACATGATTGCTAACCACTATTAACCAGTTGTGATATCATCAACCCATAGTTCGTTGATCCTGTAGTTAGTTGATGGCAACTACCATATCATCCCCTGATATTCTCATTCATCTTCCATGCTATAGTTGTCTTTTCCATTTTTTCCCATATATCTATCTGGTTGGTGGTATACCTACCCCTCTGAAAAAATAGTAGTCAGTTGGGATGATGACATTCCAAATATATGGAAAAAAACAAAAGCCATGTTCCAAACCACCAACCAGTTATCCATATTTCCCCAACAGTTTCCATGAAAACGGCCATGTTTCATGGGAATCCCAATCCCCTCAGGCTTCGTTGATCCCGTGGCCCAAGGCGCTTCCGCGTCTCGTTGCACGCCGTTGCGCAGTTCGCCGTCCACAGGCTGGATGCGTCGCCGTCCATGGCGCGGCTGGGGGCGTCGCCGGAGTTGTAGCCGCTCGCCAGGGGGGACCCGGGAGTCATCTCCACCTGGGCGAAGTCCTGGGGGCTCCTACAGTTTATCTGGGATTAGATTATCTGGGATATTCATCAGCAAGAACAGTGATGCAACAATGATTATTATCTGAATATCTGATGAGTATTATCTGGGATATTCATCAGCAGTGATTATGGATTCTTTTTCAGCATCTGATTCTAGCAGTTCACTAATGGATAGTATAATGATACCCTCTGGTAATGACTGTTACATAGCTATTGGAGCCATGGCCCAGTCGAAATAGTGGATTTACCCATTGAAAATGGAGATTTTCGTTATGTTAGTTTACCAGAGGGTATGCCCCAACTAACAGTTGTAACTGGGATTATTTCATGATATATAACCTTAGTTATAGGAGTTAGTTAATGACAGTTATAGCTGTTAAGGGCCATTACTGCAAGTCATGGGGCTACCCCCAATTATCCAGTGAAAAAGTTGGATTTTCCATGAAATAAACCATCCAGCTATGTACCCCCATTCATGGAAACCCCCATTTCTCTGAGAAAAAGTTAAGAAGATGGGCAAAACAAAGGGGTTTAAATCCGTTTAACCATTAAAAATTACACCGGCATAGACCCCAGATAGAAAAGGTTGGAACTCACGGTTGCCAACGTGGGAACCACAGGTTACCATTGCAAGGAACTGCCGGTTACCAGAGGTTGGAACTCATGGTTCCCAACCTGGGAACCAGAGGTTACCATTGCAAGCAACTGCCGGTTCCCAGAAGTTGGAACTCATGCTTCCCAACCTGCGAACCATAGGTTACCATTGCAAAGAACTTCCAATTCCTAAAGGTTGGAACTGATGGTTCCCAACGTGGGAACCAAAGGTGGCAAGGAACTGCCGGTTCCCAGACCTTGTGACCTTGAAACTTACGGTTCCCAACCTGGGAACCAGAGGTTACAATTGCAAGGAATTGCCGGTTCCCAGAAGTTAGAATTTATGTTTTCGAAGCTAAGCAACTATCATTGTAAGGAACTGCGGATTCCCAAAGCTTGAAACTCATGGTTCCAAACCTGAAAAAGCATACGTTACCAGTGGAAGGATCTGTTGATTCCAAAAAGTTAAAACTCATGGTTCTTAATGTTGTTTTGTTTTGTTTACTGAGCCGGTAACAGAACCTTTTGTTTTGCTTAATGGACCGGTATCTGAATGTTTGCGTTCGGCTGCTGGGCCGGCATAAAAAATGTTTTTGCACGAAAAAGGGGCATGTTAAAATAATATGAAAACAGTTTCTTTACAACTTTTTGGTTTTGCTTAATGGACCGGTAATGAACGCTTTGTTTTGCTTAATGGACCGGTACTGGGATGTTTGCGTTTGGTTCATGGCAAGGAACTGCCGGTTCCCAAAGGTTGGAACTCACTGTTGCCAACGTGGGAACCACAGGTTACCATTGCAAGGAACTGCCGGTTCCCAGAGGTTGGAACTCATGGTTCCCAACCTGGGAACCAGAGGTTACCATTGCAAGCAACTGCCGGTTCCCAGAAGTTGGAACTCATGCTTCCCAACCTGCGAACCATAGGTTACCATTGCAAAGAACTTCCAATTCCTAAAGGTTGGAACTGATGGTTCCCAACGTGGGAACCAAAGGTTACCATGGCAAGGAACTGCCGGTTCCCAGACCTTGTGACCTTGAAACTTACGGTTCCCAACCTGGGAACCAGAGGTTCCTATTGCAAGGAATTGCCGGTTCCCAGAAGTTAGAATTTACGTTTTCGAAGCTAAGCCGCTATCATTGTAAGGAACTGCGGGGTCCCAAAGCTTGAAACTCATGGTTCCAAGCCTGAAAAAGTAACATTACCAGTGGAAGGATCTGTTGATTGCAAAAAGTTAGAACTCATGGTTCTTAATGTTGTTTTGTTTTGTTTACTGAGCCGGCAACAGAACCTTTTGTTTTGCTTAATGGACCGGTATCTGAATGTTTGCGTTCGGCTGCTGGGCGGGCATAAAAATGTTTTTGCACGAAAAAGGGGCATGTTAAAATAATATGAAAACAGTTTCTTTACAACTTTATGGTTTTGCTAAATGGACCGGTAAAGAACGCTTTGTTTTGCTTAATGGACCGGTACCGGAATGTTTGCGTTTGGTTCATGGCAAGGAACTGCCGGGTCCCAAAGGTTGGAACTCACGCTTGCCAACGTGGGAACCACAGGTTACCAGTGCAACGAACTGCCGGTTCCCACAGGTTGGAACTCATGGTTCCCAACCTGGGAACCATGGGTTACCATTGCAAGCAACTGCCGGTTACCAGAGGTTGGAACTCATGCTTCCCAACCTGGGAACCATAGGTTACCATTGCAAAGAACTTCCAGCTCCTAAAGGTTGGAACTGATGGTTCCCAACGTGGGAACCAAAGGTTGCCATGGCAAGGAACTGCCGGTTCCCAGACCTTGTGACCTTGAAACTTACGGTTCCCAACCTGGGAACCACGGGTTACCATTGCAAGGAATTGCCGCAGAAGTTAGAATTTATGTTTTCGAAGCTAAGCGGCTTTCATTGAAAGGAACTGTGGGTTCCCAAAGCTTGAAACTCATGGTTCCAAGCCAGAAAAAGTAACGTTACCAGTGGAAGGATCTGTTGATTGCAAAAAGTTAGAACTCATGGTTCTGAATGTTGTTTTGTTTTGTTTACTGAGCCGGTAACAGAACCTTTTGTTTTGCTTAATGGACCGGTAGCGGAATGTTTGCGTTCGGCTGCTGGGCCGGCATAAAAAATGTCCGCCGACCCCTGCCGACAGCAGGGGGAGCGCGTCAGAGAAGAGATTACAAGCAACAAGTGTTGTGCAGTGCAAGTGAGGGGCAAGCGAGGGGGGGACAGAAAGGGAAGCCAGGTGCAGAGTAAGAAGCCCAAAAAAGGAAGCGAGAAAGGAGGGGCAGTCTCAGCGAACGTAGCGGGGCAAGCGAGGGGGGGACAGAAAGGGAAGCCAGGTGCAGAGTAAGAAGCTCAAAAAAGGAAGCGAGAAAGGAGGGGCAGTCTCAGCGAACGTAGCAAGCGAAAGAAGCACGAAACAAGAAGTTAAAGCAAGAATGCAGAAGCAAGAGTAAACGAGCGACAGAAAGTAATGTTTGGCACTCTGGGCTACGGGCCGCGGGCCCAATCCGTCCTTCACTGCCATGGTGTTTTAGCCCTGCGAGGAGGTCCCTTGACCGGAGCTGTGCCGCACGAAAGCCAGCTGTCAGACAATGCAGGCAAGTTGGCAGTTGGCAGTGCAGGAACGCAGGGAAAAGCCAGGTTTGAGCTGCAAGACGACGCAGGCAAAGTGGCAGGGAAAAGCAAGGTTTGAAGCTAGTTTCTAGGCAGTTCAGAAGGCAACGTTTGGCACCGTGGGCTGCCGGCTGCGGGCCCGATCCGTCCTTCAGTGCCATGGTGTTGGGGCCCTGCGGAGGGGTCCTTGGACTCGAGCTGACGGCAAGACACAGCAAGGTTTGAAGCTAGTTTCGACTTGACCGGAGCTGTGCCGCACGAAAGCCAGCTGTCAGACAATGCAGGCAAGTTGGCAGTTGGCAGTGCAGGAACGCAGGGAAAAGCAAAGTTTGAAGCTAGTTTCTAGGCACTGCAGAAAGCACCGTTTGGCAGTATGGGCTGCCGGCCGCGGGCCCGATCCGTCCTTCACTGCCATGGTGTTTGAGGCCTGCGACAGGGTCCTTGGACCCGAGCTGACGCCAGGAAACAGCAAGGTTTGAACCGGCAGACCTGGTCCGTCCCTCAGGGCCCTGCTGTTTGGCTGTGGCGCAGGCGCCGTTTTGGGTCAGACAGCAAGGTTTTCTTGTAGGTTCAGAAAGCAACGTTAGGCACTCACGGCCGTGGCCCGCAGGCCCGATCCGTCCTTCACTGCCATGGTGTTTGAGGCCCGCGACAGGGTCCTTGGACTCGAGCTGACGGCAGGAAACAGCAAGGTTTGAAGCTAGTTTCTAGGCAGTTCAGAAAGCAACGTTAGGCACTCACGGCCGTTTTTGAATGTTTGTGACGGCCGGAAAGGGCGCGTTTTTGAAGGTTTGACGGCTGGAAGAGAGCTTGTTTTCTTGTAGGTTCAGAAAGCAACGTTAGGCAGTGGGAGCGGTTGCCGGAGGCTCGGTCCGTCCTTCAGGGCCCTGCTGTTTGGGCGTGGCGGAGGCGCCGTTTGTGAGCCTTGACGGCTGGAAGAGAGCTAGTTTGGGAGCCGTTGCCCGGAGGCTCGGTCCGTCCTTCAGGGCCCTGCTGTTTTGCTGTGGCGAGGCGCCGTTTGTGAGCCTTGACGGCTGGAAGAGAGCTAGTTTTCTTGTAGGTTCAGAAAGCAACGTTAGGCAGTGGGAGCCGTTGCCCGGAGGCTCGGTCCGTCCTTCAGGACCCTGCTGTTTGGGCGTGGCGGAGGCGCCGTTTGTGTGCCTTGACGGCTGGAAGAGAGCTAGTTTGGGAGCCGTTGCCCGGAGGCTCGGTCCGTCCTTCAGGGCCCTGCTGTTTTGCTGTGGCGAGGGCGCCGTTTGTGAGCCTTGACGGCTGGAAGAGAGCTAGTTTTCTTGTAGGTTCGGAAAGCAACGTTAGGCAGTGGGAGCCGTTGCCCGGAGGCTCGGTCCGTCCTTCAGGGCCCTGCTGTTTGGGCGTGGCGGAGGCGCCGTTTGTGAGCCGTGACGGCTGGAAGAGAGCTAGTTTGGGAGCCGTTGCCCGGAGGCTCGGTCCGTCCTTCAGGGCCCTGCTGTTTTGCTGTGGCGAGGGCGCCGTTTGTGAGCCTTGACGGCTGGAAGAGAGCTAGTTTTCTTGTAGGTTCAGATAGCAACGTTAGGCAGTGGGAGCCGTTGCCCGGAGGCTCGGTCCGTCCTTCAGGGCCCTGCTGTTTGGGCGTGGCGGAGGCGCTGTTTCTGAGCTTGGAAAGCTGGAAGACGGCTACTTTTCTTGTAGGTTCAGAAAGCACTGTGGGGCATTGCCGTGCGGTGTGGCAACCTTAAGCTGGAAACGTCATCAGGTATGCACGCGCCACTGGTTGGTGCGACACTGCCGGCCGCTGGGATTGCGATGCGTTACCCGAATTCGGCCGGAAGCCAGTGTTGAGTGCACCACCGTGCCGCATGTTGGACATGCATGCGAATATGTGCGACTTGCGAGCAGGCCATTGGCAACGCGAAATTGTTTGCCGCAGCCATTACCGCGGCGGTGATCGACGCGCCCTGTTGCCACAGGGCTTTGCACAGACTTAGCACAGTACGGGCAGATGTATATGTGCAGTCGTGGCGGTGCTGTGTCAGGCCCGACAGCAAGCTGCTGGGTCGATGAGTGGGCAGTGTCCGTTTTGGGACCTTCTGCTCGCGTGGAAGTTTGTCTTGCTTCGTGTATTTCCTGAATTTCCTTGCGAATGTCCTCTAGGATTGCTGCGTGCCGGTGGCGGGTTTCGCGTTGGCGCAAGCGGGCCAGGCGTTGATTCGTGCGATGAGCAAGACGGCAAACGAAGGCAAAGACTGTGCATGCGTTGCATACTTGTGTGCCGTCTTGAGTATATTCACGACCTTGTTGCCAAGCTGTAAACTCTGTTCGTGGCTTGCGTTCCGCGCACATGGAACACATGAAAACAGACCAGCGACTTTGACTGAGCTTCGGCCGCCATCACTGTGGAAGATGTTCACTGCAGGAAGGGTTCCAAACTCACTCTCTCCCAGGGGTCGGCGGCAGGGGGCGTAGCCCCTTAATAAATTTCATATATGTTCAACGTGAAAACTTCTGAGTGATGATGATACACCCGCATTATTTTGCAACTTTTGATGGACAGTATAGTTTCACATTAATATCAGCCCCTATGTCCTCATCAACCAACTGTCGAATTTTTCGCCACTGCCCAAGCTGCTCGGGCCTTCTCCGAAGTCCTCCGGTGGAAATCAACTCCGAGACGCTGGAACAGCACGTGCGGTTCAGCTGTGTGTTCCTGGACGTCACGTCTCCAGCATGGTAAGCTTCAAGATTACCATTGAATGGGTCCTAAGGATTTTGTCTGAAAATATGGCCCCCCCATGGTTTATCAGACTGTCCCTCTTATATCCTCTTATATCTTAATGCCACAGTTTGAAGAGTTTGAAGGTGTCCCTTTCAAACAAACCCATGTTGATCATTTCTCTGAAATTTTGGAATTTCGTATCATTTAACAATATTGAACACCATTTCACGTCATTTTGCCCCATGAAACTGCAATTTCTTATAGGTAAATATGATCCACCACGACCGCTGGCCTCGTAGCGACGCTCCTCGAGGGCCGCCTTCTCCCTCAACAGCTTTTCGCAAGCTCCATGCAACAGCTGGGACGTGGCCTCAAAACACGTAGAGATGGTGGGAAACCCAATGCCATAGACCTACTCAGACCTACTCTTTGGGGATGGTAAACATACCACCCATAAAAATGGTGATTCTGAGGATGGGGACTATTGGGTTCACCACAGACCAAGTGCAAAAACAGCAGAAAACAATCTTCGCATGGGATGCTTGCGAACTGCAAACCCATTGACATGAAGCCGAACATTCAGGACAGGACATCTTTCCGTGGAAATCGATGCTTGTTGTCCCAAACGTACTGCCTCTCCTCAAAAGGAGCAGATTTGACCGAAAGAATCTGCTTTATTTGCGGCTTTTCCGTTTAGCATCATCTAGTATAATTTGGCATCTTACACAGCAGTTCCATCATTGATATTCATTTAGAAACATTTGGAAACATTTCAAAACATGCAACCACAACAACCGCGGTTCATCCGCGGTTGATCCGCGTTGCGGGCCTTGTCAAGTTGAGCCATTTGCTCTTTGTATTCGGAACAAAGCCTTTCGAGAAGGCTGGTTGCTGCCTCTGGGCCTGCTGCGCCTGGGCCATCACCTGGACACGGCGGCAATGGATAAAAAAGGGGAAACCATTTTTTTTTTACCGCCAACTAAAACCTAGACTGGAATATAGGGTGATTTTCCCAACCAATTCGGGAATCTATACTTTGTACCTAGCAACTAGTGGCAAATCCTACCCATCTCTCATCGCATAGTCAAATCATCCACCCAAAGAACAAGAAATCACTGCACTTGTGCCTTCGGCGACGGCGTTCGGCATGTCTAGTTAAAACATTCAAAGCATATGTCGACTCAGACTTACGAACAGCATGGTCAGTGTTCAAAACAGCAGAATGGCTTCAGTGCTTGTTACCTGAATCTGAATGATAAAATACGTATATACGACCTTTGCAACACCTTCGCTAATCCTGTGCATGCTGGGTTTCGTGTTCTTGCAAAACATGACTCAGATAGATTTCAATGAAAAGCTTCCCAAGCCGAAATGCCAGGGCAGAGTCCGCTTTCTGGCATTGCAGAGATTCTGATTGACCGTAAACGATGTTACTAATATTGTATTACACTATGATCTTTCACTGAAATTGAAACTCGCTGCCTGCTGCATGACTCGATATCTCCACGTTTACAAGTATAATCCGCTCTATCATGCTCTACCTCTTGAAGCGAGAAGCTGCTTACATTCTTATTTGAAGCAACGAGAGGCATGTGCACACCTGAAGCAGGTCTAGCTTTCGCCGTGAAACGACAGCTGATGGAGCGTCTGTGCAACACAGAATGGAAAAAGGGTACATCTGAAAATGTATGGAAAGGTGCTGTTTGTGAAACTAGTGCCCTCATTGCCGTGCTTTTGATGTGATCCATAGGAATTTAGCTATGCAAATGTCAAGCTTAATCAAGGGTGATGCGGATTCCTTCATAGGTCTCCTTACCACCCACAAACTCAGGAAACGGAGTGTCCTGAATAACCTGAGCCATTGTGAGAATCAAGCCACACTTGCTGATGATTTTGATGCCAAAGCATCTAACAAAAAATGGCCAAGCACCGTACTCTAATGGCCTTCTGCAATTCCGTAGGAATGATGACTAAGTCCTGGCCAACTGGCTGCTATGCTTGCTATGGTTGCTATGGAGCTGGGTGTAGCCTCGATGATGATCTGCTTGGCCAGGTCCTCTTTGGCCTCCATCATTTGGGAAAGGCACTGAAAATTCACAGGATCCGCACCGCGCATCACCGCGCTTTTTTGCTGCAAACCCAACGGATCCAACGGCTCACCTGTTCATCCTTGTAGACATACACCTGCAATAGCGCACAAGCAGCGCACTTGAAGAGGAGGGTCAAAGCATCAAAGCATCATCTTCTGAGAGACTCTACAAGACTTGTCTCAGGGCAATCCTCAGGTCAGCCTCAATCCCATTGTCGACCAGAGTCATGTCGCTGTCAATGAGAATCTTTCCAGATCTAGCTGCCTGCAACACAAATCAGGCTGACAGCTCCACCACTTTTCTCAACATTCTCAAAATTCCCAGCCTCATTGTAGGCATTTCTGTCCACCACATCAAACTTGAAGAACTCCTCACTTTTCTCATCTGTCGTCCAGTGGATGAAGCTCTTGCCGCCGAAAGCGCTCTGAGCGGAGCAGAACCACACGTCAAACACATGGCTAGCCGTTGATGGTAACACCACCGGCTCTGATCCACAAAGCGACAATGTTATCACATGGTATCACCTTTGAGAAAGACGAGTCCCAAACCGTCTCCATGTCTTGAATGAAGCGCTGGGTAACCGCCTGCAGATGCAGTCCGAATGGATCAAAATGGTAGAGTCCCTGGTAGAGATCAAGAGGATTCAAGAGGTGCCCTGCCTGGAGGTAAAGCCTCATCCTGGCATATGGTTCCTTCTTCCAGGCTGCCACCTTGAGCTCTGAAAAACCACCACGGATTCATATGTACTGTGTATGTATTTATATACATATATATATAGATATGTATACATATACATATATGTATATATGTATATATATATACATATATGTATATATATGTGTATATATATATATAGATATATATGTATATATATATATATATACGTATATATATATATATGTATATATATATACATAATATATATATATACGTATATATATATATACATGTGTGTTTGTGTGTCATATATGATTCATATTATTCATGACACTCCTGAAATGAACTCCGCCTGCAAGTTGTAAATGAAGGGATTCTTGCCTCAGACTTCGTCTGTGTCGGGACTGTGAGGCTGGTCAAACTAGCGGCAGCACTTGAGCCTACTCAGGCTATGGAGTTGCAACAAAGTTGAATCCATATGCAACTTAGATTTGGGCTTGGCTTTGGTGGGACAGGAGGCAGCACTTGTACAACCTGCACCCAGAGCTTTGTTTTCATCGCAAACCACCCCTTCGCGGCCTCATGGTTGACATGAAGAAAACGAAGCCTTCATGGCACTTGCCGACTTGCTTCCTGCAGCGAAGTCAGTAAATGCAGAAACCATGTAAGAATAAAAGGCTCTTTGATTATCTTTGATTCACAAAACAAGCTGGTTGGGTTTCATGGAGTTTTGTTCAATTTGGCCAGTGCAAATGCTAATCTATGACATGTGCGTGGAATAGAGAATTACAATGAATTACATGTCCCTTCGCGTTGCACCGAAAATACAGACATGGATATATTTCACACCTGTAGATACATTCCTTGCATTTCTTAGGTTGCACACATTGCAGGCGTTGCATGTCTTGCGTACATCGTGTGCGACTTCCATTCTGCTTCACAAGGTTGGCTTGATTTAGACGCTGCACCTCACATCACGGTGAAACAGCGTACGATGCAATGGATATTGGTCCATTGGTAGATGCCTATGTCAATGCGTTACATTGACTTGCCTTGCACGTCCTTAACCAAAACCAAATTTACACTTAAACTGACAATCCCACGTGCATTTTCTTTTCAGCTGTTCATCTTTCGCTGACACGTACAATACATAACAATACGCTGCCTAAAACAGAGCAAATGCCTTCAGTTAACCAGCTCCGGCAACTGCTCCACCTGCCCAAATGGTGGCTGCAGCCAGCACAGCCGCAGCAGACATTCTACCTTGGCAGTCCAAGGCAATGATGGCAATGTCTCAAGGGAATTAGGGGATTCCTCGTGGGATGCCTGTGTTCACTTGGGAGATGTTATGACTGTTATGTACATCATTACATAAAAATGTCTACTGTATGCGTGTTACATCGCTTTACAGCATCTTTAAATCTAAGAATAAAATTGGACATATCATATGCATTACTCTTCATGGTGCCTCTACGCAAATTCGTATGGGTTGGCAATCTTTAAATCTTTACGCTGTGCGAGCACGACAAGACTGGGGAAACATGGGGAAACGGTGGGATGACCTCGAAAGACTTCCTTGGTACATCTTGGTACTGTCATACTGTCATAATGTTATGTAATGTTCGTATAGCTCAAAAATAGGGCGACAAAGCCCGGAAGTTGCTGCTGGATGTGTGAGAAATGAGCGTCGCTGAAGGATCTCTGAGCCAAGATACGTCGTCCCGTGGCATCGGACAGCGAAGACTGCTCCCTGCCAAAAAAAGCTTGGCTACAGTTTCTAGCAAAGGCTATAGTGTCCTTTCCTAGCAAGGAATTGCAAAAGGCAGGAGTCTTGGAGACTAACGCGAGTTTGAAAGCATCTTTCATGTATTGGCCTGGCTGGTGGGGAAAGCCCTCGGTCCTGATCTCACGAACGAAAGGTTTGAAGTCATGTTACAAAATGCAGGGACAGATATTTTGGGACAGTGGATATTTCGGGAGGTCTTTATGATTTGTCTATGCTGTTGGGTTGAAACCTTCTCACTATGTACTGCAGGATTCTCAGGTTCTACCACCAAAACGGACTTTTTAAAGAGATATGCTGCATAAGCTGCAGCCTTTGCCAGGGCAGGCATGCTCGTGTTATGTTTTGTCGAAAACTTGACGGTGGAAATTGTTGGCATTACATGTTGGCGCCAAGCCTGAGATCCTTCGGAAAAAGTGGGCTACAGGGTGCAAGTTTCTCCTTGGGGCCCAAAAGGTGGCCAAAGCTGGGGACGAAGGATTCTGTCCTGCGCTGCCAAGAGAGCCAAACAAATATATATATATATAACGATGCTTTCAAAACTTCTGCCGCAACTGGCTTGAGATCATGGCAGGTCACAGCTAATACTTTCGTACACATTCATATACTTTCTAGAGTGTTCTACTGCAGGCAGCTTCAGCCATCTCGGCATGTTCCCCTACTACGTTTGCCAAATGAGATCTTCCTTGTCATGTGAATCCCAAAGGACAATGACACTGCCGCTGACCAGGCCTAAGAGTTGCTAGACAGCAGGCCAGTGTAGCCAATGCGACCTTGACCCAAAGCATCAATCAGTCACAGGACCCAACCCTTGCTTTCATTGCCTGTCTCCGATCCGCAAGTGACATGTTGAAATCGACATTGTACAAAAAGCTCTGTGGATGCAAGGAGAACAGCCCTCACACAAAAAAAATACAGCTCTCAGAGCCCTGCTATGCTAGACCTTCTTCGACTTGGAAGGCCCTGTTGCCAACTTGACAAGAATTGACAAGATGAGGCGACATGCTAGGGCCTGCTAGGGGCTTGATCCGGTACATTTCCCCGTTGATGACAGTTGCGGCCTGGCATCTGGTCTGCAGCATTGGGCCTGGACTCAGGGTTCTTCGAGGTGGATTGAAATTTACAGGAAACTTTATGGGTCAAGCCCGTGGTACCCCGATGATCCCCGATGAACATCTAAGCTGGCTCCTTTGGAAGAAGCACGATGTGACATCTCTTGCCTTTGAATTCCGATCAGTGTCCAAACTCTACTCACAACTCGTCACTGAGCGAAGCCAACGCGGGGGGGGTTACAAACAAGAATAGTAAAGTAGTCCTGCATCCCCTGTATCAAGGTATTATCAAGGTTAGGTGCACTCAATTCCTTGACTCAAATGTCAAACGCCAAAAACGGACTGCCTTCAGAGCAACACTCGTGGGCACTTCCCAAAATTGAGCCAAAAACTGGCAAAGCGTTCCCAACATGCAAAACTAAAAAGCGAAAGCATTGATACGGAAGTGGAGCGGCAAGTTCTCAGAAGACTTCTGTTTGCCGCAATCTTTTTTTGAGCAACAGCCCGTCGCGCAGTATATCGAGGTCGTGGCACTGCAGTGACACCAGGCTCCTCTTTGAATCATGGCTCCAGGAGATTCCAAAGCCTCTTTGCTTCAGCGTGCCTGCAACATGGATGTAGCGGCTGCAAGCTACTGTGGGCATGTTGTTGGTCCATGTATGTCATGCCCCCATGTCCATGTCATGTTTTCAAGAAATCAAACCACAGTGTTTTGCGCACGCATTAACGGTCCAGAACGGTCCAAAGAACTTTGTCTCAGAGGAAAATCAGGGATGGTCGAACTCACAGGATATTATCAAGTTTTTTCCACGGCCACAGACCAATAGTTGAACTTTCTGGCATTGTCTTGCAAATTCAGTTTCATCATCGTCAGACTGTGGCGTGTGAGTCCTCCTTTGGAACAGACATGAACGGCAAAAGAATGCCTGTCATACATTGATGCAGTCTCAGGCATTTGGCCGCTTCCTCTGCAATATTGTCACAGTGAAAAACCAGTCACGGTTCTCCAATGTTGAGCCCTACATTTTCCCCTTCCAATTTTGTTGCATTTCAGCGGCCAGATTAGAACTTTACTATATAATTACTCAGCAAAGGCTTCATTCCTGGCAGTTGGAGCGTTTGATCTGCTGTGGCTATGCAGGCTATGGCTTCAAGAATCTTTTAAGAGCCAGTCTGCAACGATCACCGGTCCCGGGCGAGACTGTCTCTGGCACTGCAACAAAAGCAGAAGGACTTCTTGGGCTTTGCCTCAGAAGGTATGAAGAATATGAAGAGCAATAAGGACACACAAAAACACTGCGAGAAATGGATGCGAATGAATGCAAGTGGCTGCAACGTTTGATCTCGACATGTTTGACTCAGCATCTTCGACGGTAGCACTGGCCTGCGGGGCACTAGCCTCTAGTGGTGCTCGTGTTGCAGCAGTGTCCTGCTTGCCATGCAATTCGAAGCACGTCTTATTCCTTGCTTGAAAACCTGGACCTGAGATGTTTGCAATCAGAGTCGTGTCTTCAAGGTCCAAGGACACTTCCCTTATTCAAAACTTCTGAAAATCTGAGGCAAATTCTCCTGAATCTGCACATGTTTTGCATCCGCTGCTTTCTGTTTGTCCTTCTTGTCCTGCTACACATTGGGAAAGAGTTACACATCACATCACTCGGCTGTCCGGAATCAAGCTGCGACACATGACACATGGCAGCAGGTACCTTGGTCAAGTCGACAACAGATCCTCCAAAGAACCTGAGCAGTACAGTAGGTCAGATGTGTATCCATCACGAAATCACAAAGGTTTGAGTGAGAAACAAACACCTGCCCCAAAACAAGTGTCAAGATGAGACCAGAAGCATCGTGAAATACCTAGATGTTGTTCAGCTGTACCAGTGACTAGAGGCTTTAAAAAGAACCTTGTCCTGGATCTAAGCCACATTGCAAGTTGCTTCCTGAGAATCTTAGGCGCATTCCTCACCGTCTCTTCTAACTGCGCGGCTTTTCGGGGCCTGCAAATTCTGCTTTGTCGGTCAAATCAAGCAAACAAGACAATATGTTTGCAAGGCTAAAGGTTTGCCTGGGTTCGGTGTCGAAGTTTACCAGCAATGATGCTCTGGACAATGAGGCCTTGCAATCTGTCCAGTGACTAACAAACACTAATTAGTCACTAAATCACTATAAATCACTATAATTCACT